TTTTATTTTATTTCGCCCGCAGGGGTTTTGCAGAAAAATGCATTGTGCCTCTAGACGCTGGCGACACTGAAAAATCACCTACCGTTGAAATTTCTGAGTATTAAAATTTCCGACCAATCAGAGCTTGCCTGGAAGCTGTTCAGGCAAGTTGACCGAACTTCCAACCAGTCATCTGCAAGTTTGGTTTGTTGGCCTTGGTAGCGCCTACCTTCGAGTTACGGTACAAAAACGTTATTCCACTGATTTGGCTCGAAAACCCAATCACGTTAACGGAGAACGTTGGTTAGATCTTAACTAAAAAAGATTTAAGGAAGGTACGCCCCCAGCAATGGGATACGTCTGTGCGACAAAATGAATACAGAACGGCAGATTTTATTTCTGCCAGTAAAATCATACCGACAGCTAATGACAGTTCACGTCGTAACGTTCAATGGGATTCAGTTCAGTGGTGCTGGCTACCTCGCGAACTATACAGGCCTCGATATCTTGGTTCTGGATTGGATTAGTGAGCTTTAGCTCTTTGACCAACAATTCAGTACCGTTTTGCAACGAAACAACTGTAGATGGCCGTAGTACGTTCACGGGAAGAGCACATCCTGACCATTTCATGGTCACTACAGTTACAGCCTGAACGGAAACCAGGAGGAACGTACGTGACTGGTTATACGACTGGTAGTGTCCGTCACCGGTAACCCTCCGACTTTAACTATTTTGGCAAGTTCTGCCAGTAGCCTCCTAAGTTGTACCCTCGTTTGTTACTTTTCAATATGCTGTCCCGTTCGTTCCACTGTTAGCGGGATAGTCAAGAGGCAGGGTCCAGTAGAAGCGACACCGCAACTGTCATATGGACTTCAGATATTGGTTCAGGGATATGGGGGGACGCTCTCCCTGGTGGACGCAGGGTCGCGTGACACATCAAGCTTGCGACGCAAATCAGATGACAGACACGGTCATAGCCGTGATGTGCCTCTGAAATGGAGGTCACCAGATCTCATATCAGTATTCTCGCTGCCACAGGGATGGACCAACATGCGACAGCACCGTGATATTAAAGCAGCGTCTGGATGAACAGCGTCAACAGGGGGAGATTCTCAGGGGTCGCGCGCTCTTATTAACGGGACGTCACATCGATTCGCCGAATATTTCATTTGCGGGCAGCGGCCTAGAAGAAAGCGCGCCATGATTAATCAGAAACAAATAAGGAACAAGCATTACGGGTCGATACCTCTCGCTCTCACAAAGAATCTAGAATATACCTTGGTTACCCTATGGATACTGTTCCTACAATCCTCCTTCGTCTGCTTAAAGATTTGCCTCAACTACCGTGCCTTTTGATATGCCAGAGTGGACGGAGCAGAAGCCAATGACCGACATAGAAGTTGCACAATCGTTCGCGGTACGCAACACGTGATGAACAATTTCACGAGGCTACTTTGAAAGATTTAGAACGCAAACAGAATGTCAGTGGAACTAAGCCCATCGACTGTGATCCCAGTTTTCGGAGTGCGTGCAAGTGTATCACGTGAAAACCATCGTGGCGTCAGCCTAGCACCCGTGGCATCCAAGGTACTCTTCGGCATTATTTTACACAGGTTTGTCCATTATCAGGCGAACCGGAGGAGTCAAGCTGCTTTTCGCTCTGGTGCAGAATGTTTCGACCACATATTTACCAGCATCACTTGCCAATGTCCTGCGTTGGCCGTTTTTGGTATGAAGGCTGATTTTGACTCGCTGTCGTTCATCAGAAAATTTGAAGCTGTCTGGTGACCAAAGATTGTCCTTCCAAATTCGTATCCCACGATAGGTGCATTACTCAGGCTTCATAGGTTACGCTGCTTGGGGCATATACTCCACATGCCAGAGAACCGTCTGCCTTGAAGGGCTTTTTTCCTAGATCTGTGCTGAGTTGATGCGACCAAGAGGTGGACAGTGTATGCTCTGACTACGAAGTATGAAAACGCCAATCAGTGACCCGAGTCGGATCGACAACTGCGGCCTCCTTAGAAGGAGATCCCGGTACTGAACTCACCAGTAGTTAATGACGCTGACAGAAATGGCCCAATCGCGCATTCAGTGGTGCCCATTTATCAGAACTATCGCCTTCAGTGCGTACCTACCCAGTTCCTGAAATTACTGAACACGCCATCACCCCCAAAGTTTGGCTGTGCCCCACACTCTGCCACTTTCCGGTGATGGAAACTGTAGCATCTGGAACTCAAGGTACGTGGTCTATAGCTGATTGTTTGGTTGACCGATTGGTTGCTTGATTCTCTGCATCCGCTGACTTCACTGGCATGATTAAGTTTCAGTTAAAACCACGGAGTCTTGGCACCTTCAAATCACGTATTCGTAATTGGCATTTGGTGTCTTCTGGGTTTGCCAGACATTTGAACGAGCAATGTAGTGGTTGACACCTCACGTGATCAAGAGGGTTGGTCTTTTTAACCTTATGAAAATTTTCTGCCTGGCTAAATTGTGGTTCTTATCTCCGTCCGACTGAGGTCACATGAGTTGTACTGAAAGCGAGTGTACTAATTTGCACATCTCCATGACTGCAGAACTAAGTGGATTCTATGAAACAGGAAGAGAGAAGCCTCATACATCATCCATACATCGGTAGCATAGCGATGAGGCTCATGAAGCATTTTGAGCCGAAATATATGGGAAAATATGATCGCGATCCTTCAAGGAGATGATGCATTGAGTTTATTCGGTGGTGTTGTCCTGATTGTTCTCAATCGCTTGATATTCTTGTGATCGTCAGTCAGAGTGCTGCCTTGTAAACTCTGTTTTCTTCTGGGATCTACCACCTGCCGACCTGACATCGTACACTTTTATTTTTTGAAAAGTGGAATTATGGTTAGCGAATACACGTACGGTCCCATACGTTTTCGTGGGATCTTTCCGTCATTTTGAAGAATGACCTCTGTCCGCATTAATACATTGCGGAATAGCTTATTTTGAGCATTGCCCACGTAACCGAAAACATACTCTCAAGATAATTTACATTTTAGCTCTTTCCTTCAAATGACTTCGGACTATCAGTATATGCCCCGTTCGCGGCCAGTCCCCGGAGTGGAATATCCGCTCACCGTAGCCTATTGTGGAGGTAAGTATGTGTAGGTCTGTTACAATGTCCCAGAATGTACTATGCCAATAGAATATTGTGAGTTTTCATCAGCTCCTGATAAGTGTCGCTCGTGGATGGAGAAGAACCTCCCTGAGGAATTCGAGCGACTGACAGCTTGTATGTTTTAACCTTCCCGTTCTATAGTAACCCATTTTTAAGGTGACGGTGCGCCACCTGCAGAGGCTCCTGCCAAAGGTCGTCAAGTTCGGGGTGGGAAGGGTTCCGCACCTCGCAAGCCAGCTAAACAGAAGATTACGGTTTTTAAAACATCTCGTGGGAAAAAGAAGTTCACAACGAGTGTTGTTGGTCTATCCACTTTTGGTATGTCACTTGGTTCTCTGCCCGATTCCTAAAAACTTGTTTATCTTCCATCCTGTCCCCGCCTAAGCCACTGAAAATAACCCCTCATCTTCGTAAAACCCTTCTAGACTTCAACCGCCATATTCTGAATTGCCTAGCTGCCGTGCCATCCGAAGGTTGCTTGCGCAACCTGACTATTTCTACTCGCCTTTCTCCACTGGGAAAAACGGCTGCTAAGTGCCGAAGGAGCACCACAACTAAACGATTCAGTCTATCGTACTCCCCCGGTTGTTAGTAGATAACAATACCTGGTAAAAGCTTAGAGACTTATCAAATGGAAACACTGCACAAACTGCAACCACTCCTGTCCATCCAAACGCATAGGTCCGTCACGAAGAGGCTGGACGTTACCATGCTGTGACGCTTTGCTTCCAAGAGGCTCGTAATGAGTGCGGTAGTCACAGGGGGATCAGCTTAATTCCATGCGCATAAGTGACCTACAGCTTTATTATTCGTGGATTCCAAAAGCGCATTTAACTCAGTTGTCTGGTCTGTTTTCCTTGGCACGCTTTCCCATCAAGAAATGCTCTGGAATTTTGTGAACTTAATAAGTCTTTTATATTTTCATACTTCCGGATGTACAAGACTACACGGTTAGCTCTCGAAAAGCTCCCGTGCACAAATTGTTCACCATCAGGGATGTACATTCAATCCCTGCTTAATTTGGTTATCGGTGAGACAATCGAGACAAACGCTGGGAGGTTGAGACGTTTAGAATGTGTCCGAGAACGAGTTAGAATAGAGTCCAGGTTTTCGAGGATAAGCAACGTTTTACTTGTCTAAGAACAAGCGTACATGAGCTGAAATGTAAATACCAAGGCTCAGTACGAGTATATATGGTAAGTATAAAAATAAGCACACAGAAATCATGACATTCACCCCGACATTGTTTGAATGAACATATATGAGCTGACGTAGCCAGGGGGTGATGTACTGGATCAGGCTTTTCTGTTACTCAAACTGTAAAGATGAATGCGTCGCTGTTGTTCTAGAATTTCGGGATAACTCGGTTGGTATTCGGAGGACGGTACCGAAGAAGATTCAGATGCTTCAGAGCTATCCGGCTGGCGTCCGGTTGTTTCAGTTGTATCTGGGTGTTCAGTATCCCCATTGGATTCAGATAGATTGCGAACATTGTCAGTTGTATTTGGAACCGCTGGGGCTAGACGACGAGGGGACACAGTTTCGACTCTTCCGTCCCGATGAGCAATGTGTGCGTATTGTGGGTCGCAGTTCGTAACCCTTGTGTTCATATAGCAGCTGATCAAAGCCTTGTAAATCTGAAATATGCGAGCGGCGTCGTGTTTATTTTCGGAGAGAAGTCGCAGGTGTTTATAGATGGACTGACTAAAGTCATCCCCACCTTCCGCATGTGCTTTGGACCCACAAAATGTAAGCCCATGCTCCTGGATATGCAGTCGCTGAACACACCACTTTCAATCCAGGGAAAAGAACCCGAAATCGTGGAGGGTTTTATATATCTTGGAATTTGCATAACTTCGGATCGTAGTGTGACAGATGAGGTCAGCGCACGAATCTGCAAGTCTCGGGTCGTGTTTTCCTATTTAAGATACCTATGGCGTCCAAGTGGCATATCTCAAGGGACACGCGTATCAGGCTACAGTAAGGGCTGTTTTGTTTATTTGGCTGTGATACTTGGCCTGTTCGGGTTGCAGAACTGTGGTGACTTCCGGTCGTGGACAGCCGTTGTCTCAACCATAACTGGTGTAGGTGGGTGTTTGTGTATCCGTCGTTGGGGGGCGGGGGGTTGAAAGCGACTGTTCGGCTGTCAGTTTGGGACTTCGATCGAGGAATTTGTCCAGTACCAGAAGTTGCCTTGGTTTGGTCACGTTCCGCGTGTCGAGCCATCGCTTGCCGAAGTGTGCTGTTTCCCGTGCCCCATTCATAGTGTCGGAAGCAGAGAAGTGTCCAACCTTTATAATTGCGGACGGGTTTGAAACCGATTACGAAAGGTCTGGGTGGTACTGATGTGACTCGGTGTTGCTAGAGTTGAGTAGTTCCAGGACGGGATTAGAAAGGAGACAGAATAGGAAGACGTAATGTACGCTTTAATCGTCTAATAACTGTAGTACATGAGCTGAAAATAGAGTGAGAATCA